TACTTAAAAAAAAAGAAAAGAAAAAAACCTTTTTCCTTAAGCAAAATGATTGGGCTGTAAAACAAATTTAGAGGGGAAATCAAAGAAATAATATTTGAGCCTAAAGTTAGATATCCTATTTCTTACATATTATTAAAGTGATTATTAAAAGTGATGAACTTTGTGAAAGCTCAGATGCAGGGGCTTATACAATATAATTAGCAGGTCATCTCTGGAGAATTTAGCCTTCTGGTTTCTTATATAACAAAAATAAAATAAAAACCACCCAAGTTTCATGAATTATCATCTTAATCACTTCTTTTAAAGAACCATTAGGAAAAAAGTACATGAATCTCTATTCTCATGATGCACGCTTGTTTTTTTCCATTATTGAGATGTTCTATTATGCAAATCTGAAAGAAGCCAAATCCTAGAGATATTCTATTATTCAAATGCTAGTAGGATCCTGATTCTTCCATCAGTTGATTGGTCACAAAAGCAACAGCAAGGGGCAGGCAGCAGAGTGGGGGGACCTACTGGCGTTTCTAAGTGAATCCGAGGTGTCTGCCATGAATGGAGGTGGGAATGGCTGGATGAGTGGAGGGAGGAGGGGAGGAGAGAGAGGGAGAAGGAGTGTCTGTTTCAGCGTGTTGATCACCCATCTCCATCCAGCCAAGGCTTTTACCAGCTGGAGGCTGGTAAAAGGAAGGTGCAAGCTGGGTGTTACTTTGATCACCTCTGGAGCAGCACACCAGGCAGTGTAGAGGAGAAAGGGTGGTTTGTTCAGATACCAATTAAGGGACCCAAGGCCTGCAGCATTTTAACCGTCCTTGCAGGGAACAGAGGCTAATTTCTAGGAATCCTGTTGTGATTTGCTTTTTAGCAGCATCTCAGTGACTAGCAGACTGTGATTTCATCTGGACTAAATTGTATTTGTTTCCAAACAGCTTAACAATGCTAATTGGGCAGCACACAAACCCTTTGCAAGTTGCATATTTTTAAAAAGATAACTCACCCTAGCAATGAACACAGATTGAAAACCAGTTAAAAGCCAGTGAGAACAAATGCGTCTTAAATGGAGGATGAAACAAAGGGAAGGTGGGGGCACATCCCCTAATGTCAATAGGCAGAAAGCCGCACGTGCACAATGGCCATGGGAGCGACCACCCAAGGTGATCTGAGTTAGTTCTGGAGACAGACAGAGACCTGGAGCCGGAGCCAGGCCAGCCACAGAGTCCCGCTCAGGAGGGAGCCAAGGTGGTGGGGAATTGTCTCATTCCTGCTCTGTGCCACGCTTTTATCCACGGCCAATTTTCTTCCTCTAAATATAACCCAAATGACAGGAGGTCTGCATTCTGGCTGCTGTGGCCAACAGTCACACACTCTTAGTAGTTCCAGAAGGCTGTTACTGGGAGTGACTGAGCGCTAACTAGAGTCAATTGAATTACACAGATATATAACCCCCCGCCCCCCACCACCAGGCTGCCCACCCACCCAGCCTTATTATCAGGAGCGTGCAAGCCCCTCAAGAGACTGAGCTTTTGAGAAACTTGTAATCCACAAATATGTAAGTCCTGAACACCAGGCACTGTGCTGGTACTGAGGCTGATCGAGTTAAGCATAGAGCATAGTCCAGAGGAGACACCTGATTTTTCTTTCCAATATGCACCAGATTTGGGGATCAGAAACTGAATCAGATCTGAGTTTGACGTCTGACTCTCCCAACGACACCTGAGTGAGCTGGGTCAACTTTTGTAGTTTCTTGGAGCCACAGTTTCCTCATCTATAAAATGAAAACAATAATTCATCCAGGTGTTGTGAGGATTAGCAGGATAGTTTATGTAAAGTGCCAGCACGGTGCTCGCCCACAGTTTGCAGGTGCTCAATTCATCGTGGCAACTGGTGCTGTGATAATAACGAATCTTAGGGAAGAGGGTACATGTGGAGAGGTTGAGTTTCAAACTTCTGTAGCCAGCGGGGAGCTGGGCATAAGTGTAGGATCATGGGTCACAGAGCTGAAGTGAACTTTGTCTAGTTCACAGAAGAAGAAACTGAGGCACAGAGAGTGGTTGGGTGACTTGCCCGGCATCTCACAGAGTCTGACGTGGAGCCCAGGTTTTCCTAAGCTGGGGTTCTCATTCCTTCAGCACACCTGCATTACTATTCCCTGAAGGAGCTTTTCTTCTAACAGAGTGAGTAAAAAGTTGCCTATAGAGATTTCCTTCAACACATTACCAGACCGTCCACTTTCTGATTATTGGCTTCAAGCCTACTTGCTGCTGTGACTCTCAAACCTCTGCTCGAAATGCACAGGCTCTCACTGCACTTGATGGAGAGAGAGAGGCTCAGCCTCCCCAGCCTGACATTTTCCTTTCTGGGTCTGCAGCCGCTCAGTCTCTATGCTTCAGGATTCCTTCCTCCCAGCGTGTGAGTCTCTGGAGCAGCATTCGAGCCCTCGCAGGTCAGCCAGAGCATCTCGCAGTAAAAGTTCTCTCTCTTCAGCACATGTGAAACATCGTGTAAGAACAGAGCCAGATGAATTGGAAACAAATGCATTTGCCTGGAGAGGACCAGAAACAAGGCAAATCTTCACTGCTTAAGAAAGCAATGGGAAATGCATTAAGGTTAAAAAAAAAAAAAGGGTAGAATTCTTTGCCCACTGGCAAGAATGGAGAGGAGAGAATGGTGCTCCTTGGCAAGGCTGTGTTACTCACACCAGGCCCTTGGGTTCCCCTGGGGGCTGTATGTGAATGTGGGGAGAAGAAGCTGTGCGTTCTTTTCTGCTGCCCTGTGTTCCTATCCATGCCCACCTTACAGCGGCCTGACAGTCCTTTCTGTGCAGGGAAGAGAAGGGAGCTCTCTCCCAGAGTCCCGGAACCCAGGCCCGGTGCCCAAGGCCCTACCTCCTACCCCGTCTTTTGTTTTCTAGGCTCCTTCAGCCCTTCAGTCGACACCATCTGCTCTTCCTCGTAACTGCTCTCTGTACATTTCGAGTGTGCTAACGCCAGTTGCCTCTCCAGGAGGGGCACCTGTATTTCTTCTGTGTTTTCAAAAGAAATACTTGTTGATTTTTTTCTTGGATTGACTTAAGAATATATTGCTAAATATAAGACAACTGGCCTTTTAAGGGATAAAAACATTCCATTTCGAAACAACATGTTTCTTCTTTGCCACAGGTGTGTCTAATCAGATGAGAATACGAGTCAGGATTAATTTCCCACTCAACCAAAGTGATATAAAATCATTGCCTGCTGGAGGTAGGGTGGAATGCCGTGGGCAAGGGGTACGTTGAGAGAGGTCATCCCTTATCTGAGAGAACTGGTAACCCTTCTGATCTCAGAGCAAGTTAAAAGGGATTTTGCTGTTTGTGGGAAAAGTTCTCTTGCCTTGGTCTGTATGAGACACAATAGATGATAAGAGCTGATTGGGAACAGTTACTGTCTAATGGATAAATATGTAAACGTGGGTAAGGATGTGTTTAGACAATTTAAAAGTGTGTCTCATTTACCCAATTATAAACAGCTGTCTGAGAGCAATTACGATTTATCATGTAAATGCTTATTTGCATAATTCAAAATATGAATATTATTTGCTCGATAAAGACTGTAAATAAAAGGCAACCCGAACTTTCTCATGCTTAGAGTTTTATGCTAAGTTTTTACCTTCCAGGAAAAAAAAAAGCATTTTGTTCAAAATGGTACTTAACTTTGGTAATTCTGGCAAGTCCAGATAATAGCTAATTTAATCAGAGAAGAACAAAAGTTTTAAAGTAAAGGTGGCTGGCTGAGAAGTAATGAAAGAGGGCACGCCGCTCTGCAGTGTTTACTCCTGAAATTTAGTACGTAGCGATGGTGAGTGGTCCGACAGCTATTTTCACTGCACCTGGGTGTTTAATGGTGAATTCTTCCAGGGTATTTAGCATATGATTTTATGTACTACAATTTGATATACACCTAATTTTTCCATACTATCTCATTATTTTTTAAAGTGTGGGATTATTAAATGAGTCAGCTTCCAAGTGTACTAAGGAACACTTCTCCTTAAAATATAACTTCTACTTTTATGAGAACAAGTAATAAAACATGGACGTCAAAACTTCCGCTCAAGTATATTCTGATGTATTCATTTTCTGGGGCTGCCATAACCAATCATCACAAACTGGGTGGCTTAAACCAACAGGAACTTCTTCTCTCAAAGATCTGGGGGCTCGAAGTCTGGAATCAAGGTGTCATCAGGGCCATGCTCCCTCTGCAGTCTCTAGGGAAGAATCCTCCTTGCCTCTCCCTAGCTTCTGGTGGTTGCCGGCTTGTAGCTGGTGTTTCTTGGCTTGTAGCTGCATCGTTCCAATCTCTGCCTCTGTCATCACGTAGTCTTTGTCACTGTGTGTCTGTGTTTCCGTGTGTCGTCTCTTCTTAGAAAGACACCAGTCATTGGATTTAGGGCTCATCTTACTCCAGTATGACCTCACTTAACTAATTACATCTGCAGAGACCCTATTTCCAAGTAAGGTCACGTTCACAGGTACTCAAGTTTCAAACATATCTTTTGGGAGGACATAATTCAACCCACTACACTCAAAGAGACTGACTATGCAAAGTAATGTGTCTGAGCACTAAAGGATCCTGAAATATTGTCTGAATTATGCTCCCCCCATGAGTAATTCATATTTTGCATGGTTTTGACTTTATAGACAGAATATGACATTGTTTTAAAATTGAGAATTGATATGTGATCTATAAGATATCATATTATGTAGTATATTCAAGAAATATTTATTCATTTTCCATTACATGAAAAACAATGTGATAAGAACTCTCTCTTAGCCAAACTATCTGGTTAACCAGAGCACGACATTCTTCCACTATTTTTTTTTTTTAAAGATTTTATTTTTTTCCTTTTTATCCCCAAAGCCCGCCGGTACATAGTTGTATATTCTTCATTGTGGGTCCTTCTAGTTGTGGCATGTGGGACACTGCCTCAGCGTGGCCTGATGAGCAGTGCCATGTCCACACCCAGGATTCGAACCGACGAAACACTGGGCCGCCTGCAGCGGAGCGTGCGAACTTAACCACTCGGCCACAGGGCCAGCCCCATTCTTCCACTATTTTTGACAAGCAAAAGTTCATGATCTTTCCTTGATGTTAGTGATTCTCTTTAAGGACCTTACTGTTGTGCCACTAATTGCAGAGGAGTCTCCCTAGGTGGATTAAACCTCTCTCTCTCTGCAAGGTCGCCATTGAGTTGAGGGGTCAATCACTGCCTCCTTTATGCAATTCTTTCCACAGGTCTAGAAAAGAAGCTACAGTATGCCACGCACAGCGCTAAACATTTATCCAAGCTAGCTCATGCAGACTCATAACCCTGGGAGTTATATTTTGTGATCTTCCCATTTTATAGATGTAAATTGATAATACTCTGATAAGGTTGATACTCTGATAAGGTTCAGAATCAAGCAGCCATTAAGTGGAAGAACCAGGAGAGGAATCCCAACATTCCTGTCTCTAAAGCTCGCACCTTTGCCATATATCTCTGGAGAGGAGCCCAGTGTGCTTGGCTTCATGCTGTCACTTCCTGGCTGCCCCACCCTCGCAGACCTGTCCAGGAATGTTCTGTGCCGCTTCAGCTCTGTTGGTTTTGCCACGTTGCTGCACTTCTGCTCAGTGACTTCTGGGTCCTAGGAGGATGCACTGCCAAGTGACAGGGTTAAGAACTTGGAGACCTGCCTTGATCAGGAGGGAAAGAACAGATCATCCCTTGAAGACGCTTATCAGTGGGCCCCCTGAGAAAAACCAAAGCAGGAGAAACCAGGGCACCACAGCGATTCAGGTGTGAGCAAACAAGCCCGGGAGTCAGAGCACAGGCACAGGAACTGGTTATAGACTTCCACAAGCAGGACTAAAACTTTGAATGAGAGAATCAGAACTGAGATGAAGCGGCAGGTGAGGGGCCTGTCCCACCCCAGGGGGTGTCTAATGATACTTGTCAAGTAGGAAAGAACTACTGAAAATCTCACGCCTCAATTTGCAACTATCAGGGCCCCAAAGTACTGCCTCTTCTCTCAGTTTGTTTGGGCAAGGTTTTGCTTCTCTGCCTTTATCAGTCATTTCTCTGCTTCTCACTAGATTCCTCAAACAATAGAACAGTTGTCATTTCCTCCTTATGTCGCTACCTGTCTTCTCATCTGGGTGTCCTGTCAGTCCAGCTAGACAGCAGGCTTAGTGAGGAAAGGGCCTTCCTCTCTTGCTATCCCTGTGTTACCAACAGTGCCCCAGGGCTCTAAGACCTCGTCCAATCTCCAGTCATTGACATTCAGAGACCATGTCTGCGAAGCAATGGGAATAAGTCACTGACAAGCTGAGTGAGTTTTAATTTTTCCACCTTAAAAATTTTGCTTCTAAAGGTATGCTTTGCTCACACCCAACATCCTGTCACACAACATAACATTTATGTGGGGCTCAGCCACAAAATGCCAAGTGACTGGCTCAGAGCCACTTCCAATGTTAGGAGAAATATGCGGAATCAGCATTTAGTGCTGTTTTAGTTGAGATTCTGCCCTTTTGTCGGGATCTCCTTTTTGTTAGTTCCAGCTCTTGAAAATCAAATCTGATGTGGAAGTCAGACTTCTGTGATTCCAAAAGCATACATTCTAAAAACCCAGGCTATGAACAAATTCAATTCAATGCTTTGTTTTCTAATTGTACTTTCCCTTTCCAATCAGAAAAAAAAGGAATGGGAAGAGGGACAGACAGATTGAGGCAGAGGGACAGGAGGGGGTGGGACAAGGAGCATGGACTGACCTCATGTCCCAACCAGGTGTTCACTGTATGATGCCTATTAGTGAGGGATAGCACTGTATGATGCCTATTAGTGAGGGATCGGTCAGGTCATAAAAGTGCAGTCGGCAGAGGAATTTCCACACTGGCACGAGCAATGAACTTCCCTTGGATCCTAAACTGCTCCCAAGTTAAACAAGAATCGAGACATCCAGGCTGAGTCATCATCCTGGCTCAGTATTGTCTAAAGGGTATGACCTTTACCAGAAAACCAGGTGGGGTAGGTTCTGCCTCTCGTCACCTGTCAGTCCTGAAGTTACAGAAAGGGCCAGCTTATAGGGACCTGCCTCCTTGTGTTACCTTCAGCCATGCTTCAGCTTCATCTTCCACATGCTCTAGTATTTTTCAATTGTTTATTTCCTGTTTATTCCTCATAGCAAGCCTATGGGAGAGTTCATTTTGCTATCTTATTTATATATTAGCTTTAGGGTAGGATTCTAAATCGGTTCTGATTGCTAAGGATAGCATTCCAATTTTAGGAAAATCAACTATTTCCCCACTGAGGGTTGTTAATTTATTATTACTAGTTTATGCATCAATTCACACAACCAACAAGCACTTACAGGATGCTTACCATGTGACAATTGCTGTGTTAAGTTCTGGAACATGACATTTGCATGATATTTTACAATTTCTAGAACATAAAATCACTATTTCCCTTTGTTTTGTTTACAGTTCTAGAAGGTAAGTATTTTAATTTCCACTTTACAGATGCAAAAACTGAGGTTCGGATCCCAGAGCCTTTACTGGGGCAGGACTGTCACCCAAGGTTAAACTATGGAGAGCACAGAAGACTATCAGGTGTCTTTTTGTGCTCTCTGCTAGAGATTTAATAATAAAAAGTGACCCAGTCCCTGGCCTTGAGGGGCTGAATGTTTAATAGACATGTGACCACAGAGTTTGCACATAATTTGTTATGCAAACAGGACACTTTTGAGAGGGAAAAGAGGCGCTATAGTAATGACGCCAGGACAACTTGTGCAAACTGGGAGGGATGGTTATTCCGTTTCTCCCAGCCTGTCTGTCCAAGGAGAAAACTGGGCATCTCTGAGACATATTTACCTTCACAGAAGCTGGGCAGAGCCAAGGAATGGGAAGAGGGACAGACAGATTGAGGCAGAGGGACAGGAGGGGGTGGGACAAGGAGCAGGGCCTGGACTGACCTCATGTCCCAACCAGGTGTTCAGAGATGAACCTGACCAGGGAGGCGATTGCCACCGACAGGGCGGGCAGCTGGACCACAGCTGTCTCTGTGCTGCTTTATTTTAAGCTGCAAGAGAAAAGAGGAGAAGTGGGCAGAGAGTCTGTATTCTCTGGACAAAATCGGTCCATCCTGTTTCACATTCTCTTCCCCTAAAACCAAGCCCCACAGTGGTGAAAATTCCCAAGGTCTTTTCCTTTTGGCTGGGAGTCTTTTTATATCCTCCCATTTCCCAGGAATTTATTCTCTAACGAAATAGCATGATATTATTAAATAAATTATTCCCACTGGGTAGGGGTGAAGCTTTAACAGTTCCGGAGGGCAGGGGAGATGGCTGTCTTGGGTTATTGACACAAAGCAACGTGGCAGGTGTCGTGTTAGGAAGACTGAGCTCGAGCCTGAGACTGGGTTTGTTGGCTCTCAGGTGGGAATCAGGTCTCGTCTTGGGGCTGGAAGGAATGTGAGCGGATTATCAGTTCAGCCTCTTGCCTCTAGATGTTGACTCCAAAACTCCAAACACCTCGAAGGAAATTGTGGCTGTCAGGCGAGAGTGCATCCTCCTCAGAATGTTGTAGGGGCCTGCATGCACTGATGCTCTGCCAACCCTACATGTCCCACCACTTCCTCCTCGGAACTCAGTGCTTCAGCTGAGATGATGATGATGATGGTGGTATCTGACATCTTTATGATGTACCAAACGGTTTGTAAGCACTTTAGCTGTGTTATCTTAGTTATTCTGCACAGCCCTATAAAGTAGTTTATTTTAGTAGTATTTTTATGCATGAGGAATCTGAGGTACAGAGTAGTTAAGTAACTGTCCCAAGGTCACAAGTCTCCGAAGGTGCCAGAGCCCGAGGCTCACCTCTGCTGTGTGCCATTCCCTCCAGGATGTTCCCTCTGTGTAGACCGCTGTCCTCTCAGGTCTTATGTCTGGCATACTCCTCACCCTTGAAGATAGAGCTTGGGTGCTGTGTCTTCTTAAAAGCTTCCCGTGTGTCCAGAGGGCTGAGTTCCATGTGCCTGGTCCACGTCCACACCCTGTGCAAACATCATGACGGCAGCGTCAGCACTGTCCTCCCTGCTGGCTTTCGTGACTATCTCCCCTCTCCACTGAGAACTTGAGGCTAGAAACTCTTTTACCTCTGGTTTCCAGCACGTGGCCTGCTGTCTGTCACTTAGTAAGCTTTCAAAAACATTTAACGCAGTAAAACGTACACAGAGAGAAAGCAAATTTTACAAAGCTGCTGACCTCCCTTTGCAGTGCCATGGTGGGCCCATGGCTAACCCATTCGGACCAACAACAACATAAAGAAACACAGCTTCAGAGGGGCTGTGAAACGGGTTTGCGATTTTAATTTAGAACTGGTGTTCGGCAGCACCTGTTTTAAACCATGGACCGGTCAAAACGGAATTGATGGTAATAATGAGATGCTATTTTCGGAAAAACACCTGAAAAGTACTATGAAGCCAACTGGTAGGTGTGTCAGCTGGCATCGCTGACCCGGAAGGCAGTTGGGTAAAACGCATCCAGGGACTTCAAAACTTTTGACCCATTAACTTCCAGGAATTTTTTTCCAAGGAAAGATGAGAAATATATAGAAATATTTAAGCTTAAGTATGATTGCAGCATTGCCTTAAAAAATGGAAGTTGGCAGTAACCTAGATGCCCAGGGTTAGGGGCATGGTTAAGATTACGGCGTTACCATCAAATGATGGACCATATGCAGCTATTTATATCATGCATACAAAGAATTTGTAATGACACAGTAAAGACTGACGATATCATGTTAAACAAGCAAAGAAACAAAAAGTCCTTGAATATAAAACTCTATAAACAGCATGATTTCAACAAACAAGTAAAAAGTGTATAAAAACTAGAAGGCGATATACCAAAACATTAACAATGATTATCTCTGGTGAAATTTGGTTATTTTTTTCTTTATAGATTCCTTTACTTTCCAAGTTTCACACATTGAGCATGTATTACTTTAATAGTTATGGGAAAAAATTAGATTTTTAAAACACTGTATGAGATGTAACATGTTATTATAAATGAATAAAACTGAGAGATAATATGTAATTTCTTAATTAAATGAAAAATATACTATTATCTTTAAAATAAAAAATGAATGGAATTGGACAAATACCATAAAAAAAAGAGTTATAATAAGCAGAAGCCAGATGGTTTCTTGGGAGGGAAAAAGCCCTTTGGATGTCAGGAGATCTGGTTAATAATATTTGTGACAGTGATTCTATAACCCAGGAGAATCATTTGACCTCTTTTGGTTTCTTCATTTGTAAAAATGAATTGGTTGAATGAGATGACCTCCAAGTTTCCTCCGTGCTCTAAAAAGCCTCTGGCCTTTGTCCGTTGGTTCATCTGTTATTTATCTCATACGCACAAAAGTCCATATTTATGGGTGATTTGACTGCACTAGATGAGGTCCTGAGTTCGAATTCACAGAGACCTCCCCACATCAGCAGAAAGCTGAGGACTAATTCCTGAGGTTAGAGTCAGTGCAGCTGTGAGGATCAGGGAGCAGAAAGGAGGAAAGGAAGACAGAGAAAGAATGGTGGGAGAGGCGGGGTGGCGAGCGGAGAGGCCGAGGGGTTGGGGAGGAAGATTGCTGTTCTGACAGATTCAGCGATAGCTGCACGGTGGGCAGCCTGTGGCCGGGCTTGATTGATCCATGGTTGAGAGGCTGCTGACAACTCTCCAAAGGAAGAACAGGGGCTAGAGAGGGGATGACCTTTCACCCTCAGACTCCCAGCATAAATTCCCTGGAGACCCAGGGTCTTATCACCCTGTGGAGTTAGAAGTGAATGACTGAAAACAAACCCACCCGGGACCTGGCCAAAGGGGAGGTTTTTGACTTGTGGTTTAAAACAAGTGAAAGAAATGTTTTTAACTAAAAAGAAAGCATTTGGCCCCAAATGTAAAACAGGGGTAAAGAGAAAGAAGGAGTACGGTGGAATTCAAAAAGCCCTGTGTCCTAATCCTGGCTTTGCTGGGTCTTGCTGGGTGGCCAGGAAGCCATTCGCCTCTTCCTGCCTCACTTTCTCTGCGTAAAATGGAGGCAGCACCGCCTGCTCCCAGTATCACGGAGAGTATTAGGAACCCCAGATGCCACGAGTGATGATGCTGTGTAAATCCAGTGTCCAACGTCCTACTTTTTTCCTCTCCTTGGACCAGGTGAATCTGGCAAAGGGTGGAGGGGGAGAGAGAGAGAGACAGAGACAAAAAAACAGAAAGAGAGAGCTCAGTTTCCTCTCAGCCAAGGGACCATCCCTCTAATCACACTCCCAATGAGAGCGGAGGTTAAATGATGGAAACCCTGCAACCTAAATGGAACCCCAAATCATCTAAATTCTTCTGAGTCAAAAAGCATTGAAATTTTAGGAGAAACCTCGAATACTGAGAATATCCACAGCCCTTCTTCGGGTGGCAAACTAAGCTATTCATTTCCTTCTCAGTGTAATTTTAATCTGCAACTGCCGTGTCTCTGTTGCATTTTATCTTTCCTGTAAAGCCTTCTAGTTTAGTGCTTTAACCCTTGTTGCAGTGCAGTAATGTTTGATTAACGTATCCTCGAGGGTAGAGGCCGTCTTCTGCTCTTGTATTTTCAGAGGGGCAAAACAGATCCTCCAGTTCACGTCTCACTTAAAACCCAGCAATCCCTTCCCGTTACTGTTCCTCCCAGCATTTGCATTTAGCTGTGCCCCTTCAGGTGCAGCAGGACTGGGGTAACTCCTGCATGACACCAGAATGGGCCAGGTGGAGGGGTTGGGTATCATTTTTAGGGATAATAATGGCAGCTCATTTCTATTTATGCATTTAATCGATCCAATCCAGAAGGCTCTGAAATTGCAACAAGTCTGTGCCAAGTACCTCCCACGAAGGATGATGGTTTGAAGACCTCTGTCAATCACCCAGCAGAGGAGATGAGCGCCCAAGGAGTTCTGATTTTAAGGAGCCCCTTTAATCCAATCAGTTGCCAAGAGTCTTACTTCCTGAGCCATGCATGGATTCATTCTATAAGAGTGCCTTTTGCATTAAAGAAACTGATTGCAAACTTTCCTCCTAATTGTGAAAATGCTCACCTGCTCAGAGGAAACATTTCTGGAAAGACACCTTCATTTTGCTTCCGTTATTGGGCTGAGGAGAGTGAAGTTTCAACAGAAGTTTAGGAAGTTAAAATTCAACACCCATCCTCGCTCATAGAGCAATTTGTGCCTAAGATGCCTGTGGAAACGACAAAATGAACTTGACCCCATCAGCCACCTTTCAAGGGCCTCTATTATTTCGTTATGACAAAAATATATATGTATTTCCTAAGTAAGGGAGCCATGGGAATGGTGAGAAGAAGGCCTTCGTAAGAAGGCATTGAGTTGATTATTAAAAAGGAATGATTATCAAAAATTGGAGACAACTTAAATATCCAACAACTGGAGAATGATTCAATCTTTTGTTTATTGAGGTCACATTGGTTTATAACATTATATAATTTTCAGGTGTACATCACTCTATTTCTACTTCTGTATAGACTGCATCCTGTTCACCACCAAAAGTCTAGTTGCCTTCTGTCACCACACACATGTGCCTGTTTACCCGACTTGCCCTCCCTACATCAATTATTAAATTGATTTTAGTATATTTACATACTGAAAAACTGTGAAGTCATTAAAATCATGTTTTAAAATCTGAAGAATGTATAGTGAGATGGAGAAATATTCACCACATACTGTGAAATGACAAAAGTAGTGTGCAAAATCATATGTACAATTTTTAGAGAATTTATAATCCTGGAGAAAAGCCTGTGCTCTGCAGCAGCTCAAAAGAATGAAATGGATCTAAACGACCTAATATGGAAAGGTTCCTAAAATCTGACATTACGGCATGAAAACATGTTTCAAAACAACATACAGAAAAATCCCATTTGCGAGGGACTTTGGCTTAGGGAGATTAAGGGAGACTTTAAGCTCATCTATGTCATTTGAATTTCCATAATGAGAATATAATTGTATATTATGGAATTTAAAATCATGCTTCTAAAATTTAAAATGGGAGAAGAAAGGGAGAAAAAATATGGGAAGAAAATATTCCCCAAAAGCTAATAGTTGGCTCTCTCTGAGTGGTGTGACTGTGGTTAATTGATTAATCCGAAGCCCTTGCAGGATAAATCGCTTGACAATCGATCCAAGCTTCAATCCCACGTCGCTATGACTCCAAACTTCATGTTCTTCCCGTTCCCTATCACTTTTCCAGTTATGTGTCCTTGGTGCTAAGGGATCAGGTTACCGTTAGGAGAAGAGGAGGGAGAGGAGGCACTGGGAGATGGGTGGCTGTTGTTATTAGTAAAGTTTAAGGCTGTGAGTTCCGCAGCGGAAAATCAGAGACAGTGAGGGAGATGGAAATAGCGCCACCAGCTGATCAAAAAAGAACTGCAGCTTCTTTGCCGCTGTGGTTCACAGCGCGGTCTATCGGGGAGCTCACAGATTCCAGGACCCATTCCCAGAGGCTTGAGACCCGGTAGGTCCCTACTGTGGGCCAGGAATTCTGCATATGCACTAGCACCCTACGTGGTCCTTAGATATTTCTTGAGAGACTCTGCTCCAGTGATGGTATCGATCCGGAAAACAAATGCAGGACGTGTCACCCTCTCCCTTTCCAATTTACCAGACCATCCTCTGAATCCTTGTTTCTTTCAGGGTGGTCCTTTATGCCCATTTAAAGCTGATTCCACTGAATTAAAACATTGGATGAGGGCACGGGGATAGGAGGAGGGGTAGGTAGAGTCGTACAGTGTGACCGGCCTGGGGACACTGGGGAGGAGGCAGGGATGGCCCAGTGAGGAGGCGGCACAGCAGCCACACGAATGCCGTGAAGTTTAAAAGTCAATAAAAGTAAATACTCTTTTATCTGCCAAACATGGCATAACAGAGCAAGACCTGTTAAATAATCATTGTCAGAGGATGATGGTGAAAATAATTACAGCATCTGAGAAGTGAGCATCCAGGCCCTGATCATTAGCTTGGCT